GTGTTTTTTTTTTAACCTTTAATGTTATATCTTTCCAATTATTCTTCATACTAAAGAACAGTTAAAAAACTAAACACACAGCCTACACAATTATTCCTAAGTATGCTAATCCTGGATTGAAGATTCCACCAGACTGCTTATAAGGCAAGCAATTGATTTGCAGTTTTCTATTTCTTTTCTGATGCACAATCCATCATTCTTTACCATGACAGTTGCTTTTAAACAGAAGTTATAGTTTGGCTACCAGTTCTCCAAAGATGTCATTCCAGGTAATTTGTTCCTGTGTGGAATGTCATTTAGGTAATGGAATATTTCCACAAGTTACAATGTTTCTCAGAGTGTGGCCAGAGGATCACCTGCAACAGATTGGAGGGCAGAGGGCTGGAAGGTCCCAAAAAGCTGTTTTCAAGTAAAGAACACCTTGAGATTCTAAGATACACTAACATTTGAGAACCATTAGTTCAAGTGTCTTTCCCAGTTAAAACAGTTGACATTTCATCTGATGGTCTTTAACTTCTGACATTCCACCTTCAGCCACCCCTGGGGAAGATAATAACCATTCACACTTGGGATAGGGATAGCCACTGCTGCTGCTGCTGCTGCTTCTTTTTAACATTCTTTTAACACATTTTATTGTTTTTCACAAATTAGGGAAAATATTCATTTATCAGTAATAGAAAAAATCCTTACTTTAAAAAACAAGTGAAAAAGCACCAAAGAATTTGGCAACAACTCTGATGAATTCCAGTGTTAGTAATTTACAGTTCTTTTAAACTACATTGTAATTTAGTATTGAAAGCTTTCATAAAGAATACCAAATCCAGTAACTCCTGAAATGACCCATAAGAAGCTTTGACACTACTCCTTTAATTCTTCCTCTGTTCATACTTATATACTGATTTATTTCACAAATCTTCTCTTACAACTAAATGGACTGAGATTAAATATATAATACTATCTTTTTTGAAATAATAGGCATAGGGCACAAAAAAGCTTTGAGTGTTGACTTCCCCCAAAATTGTTAGCTGAAGCTAATATAATCCACTTAAGTCAATAAGCTGTGATAAGCTGGGTGCAGTTAACCTTTAAATAATGTAACCCTTTGAAGATTTTAATTACTCTTATTTGCTAGAACAAAGTGGGATTATTTTGGATGTCATGGTAAAGTGCTTGTTAAAGGGAAAAAAAGCCTACATTTAACTTTACTTTAGTGGTATAATCAGTAATTGTCCTGATATCTAGGCTTTATAGCTTGTAACAAAAAACAAATTAAAGGCATAATTTCAGCATTCTATAGTTGCTTTGAATTTTGAGAATAGTGGGGCATGGTGGCATACACCTGTAATTCCCAGTGGCTCGGGAAGCTGAGGCAGGGGAATCGCAGGTTCAAAGCCAGCCTTAGCAAAAGCGAGGCTCTAAGCAACTCAGTGAGACTCTGTCTCTAAATAAAATACAAAATAAAGCTGGTCATGTGTCAGTGGTCAAGTGCCCCTGAGTTCAATCCCTGGTACCAATAATAAATAAATAAATAAACAAGCTTCTTTGAAAAATAAAGAAGTTTTGAAACTTTTAGAAGTACATAAACTTTTTTCAGACCTTTAAGTCAGTTATTATACCAAACTGTGAGCAAATAGCATGTAAGTTACTTAAAAGTGTTAATATAATCCCAAAGTACTCAAAGGTATCTTGGTTAATTTAGAAGAGATATTCATCCCACCTGAGTTTAAACTCAAATCTAGTAAAGAGGGTGTGGTGGGTCAACTAAATTAAGGAATCTTTGATTTCTTTTTGTGATAAAAAAAAAGTGACAAGAGAAATTTTATGGGAAAGTGAAGCCAGATTTAAAGCTAGGTAGTTAGTGTAGTTAGATAAAATGGAGACCATTATCAAGAATGGAGTCCAGGAAACCAGAGCAGCACCTGGGGAAAAGAACCCATCTTAAGGAACTGTTAATGAAGTAGCTCCCAGCAAACAGGGAGGTGCTAATCAAAAACCACCCCAGGTCCTTCCTGCCCAGGTTACTCCTTCAGCCCACTATCTCCCACCTTTTGGCCTTCCCACCTGGATTCTATCACCGCAGGATAAAGGGAGACAAAGGACATGAATATGGGAAGACTGAAAGAAGACCTTAGCTATAAAAAATGGAAGACCTCGCCCTTCCACAGATTCCACCTTTTGGGTCCCCTTCTTCCTCTGGGAGAAGTCTTTTCTGCTATCCTTTAATAAAGCCTTCTATTTTCCACTCTACACTTGCCTCGGCGTGCTTCTTTGGTGTTATACTTCAGCATTCAGGGAAGCAAGGACTCATCACCAGTAAACAGCAGTAACAAAAGTTTTAGCCATCAAAAAGTACTACTACCTACTCATGCACAAAACTGCCTCCCAAGAGTTATCCAAGATCCCTTGCATAAAAAAAAAAAAAGGAGTAAAATGGAAGATAGCACAATCCTGTCAAATTGGACAAATGAAGTATGACTTTTCCTGTGGCTCTACAGAATGTCTATATATTCAATTTTCCCCAATCAGTGTTCCTGTTTCAGAAGGGAATCTTGCTCCTGCTGGTTTTTATTAAACTGGTGTGAATGACAAAGTCAGATGCTTCTATTGTGGCCTGACACTGGATAACTGGAAACAAGGAGACAATCCTATTGAAAAGTGTAAACAGCTATATTTTAGCTATAGCTTTATTCAGAATCTGGTTTCAGCTAGTCTGCAATCCACCTCTAAGAATACCTCTCCAATGAGAAACAATTTTGAACATTCATTATCGCCTAGTTTGGAACATAGTGGCTTATTCCATGATTCTTATTCCAGCCTTTCACCAAATCCTCTAAATTCTAGATCTGTTGAAGACTTCTCTCCTTTGCTGACTAACCCCTACAGTTACCCAATGAGTACTGAAGAAGCCAGATTTCTTACTTATAATGCGTGGCTGTCAACATTTTTGTTGCCATTGGAATTGGTGAGAGCTGGCTTTTTCTGCATAGGACAGGGTAGCATGCTTTGCCTGTGGTGGGAAGCTAAGTAACTGGGAACCAAAGGATGATGCTATGTCAGAACACAGGAGATATTTCCCCAAGTGTCCATTTTTGGAAAATTCTCTAGAAATGCTGAGGTTTAGTATTTCAAATCAGCATGCAGACACACGCAGCTTGGATGAGAACGTTTATGTGCTCATGATCTGGTGTTCCAGTTCAGCCTGAGCAGCTTGCAAGTGCTGGTTTTTGTTAAGCGGATCACAATGATGATGTCAAATTCTTTTGTTGTGATGGTGGCTTGACATGCTGGGAATGGAGATGATCCATGGGGACACAGAGCTCACCAACTGTTAACTCTTCTACATTTGCTAAACATTATCTATACTTTGTTTCTACTTCCTGCAGTTTCGTGTTGTCTTTCTTCCTAACTCTGCATATCTCTTTATTATACCTGGTCAACTGATGGTATTTTCTCCATAAACTTAGCCATAAAATTTCCACAGCACACACTTTCTACATTTCATTTAAAAATTTAAATAAACTGATCTTCATTTAAGAACAATTCAGATAGGGTATCAGTCATGTTGTAATTTATAGATGAATCAATTTATCAAAAGACAGCTTTTTGTTATCATGAATGCCTAACAATACATTACCAATAGAATTACTGTCTACACAGAATGTACCAGAATTTACTACCTTTCTTTCTGAAAACTCAATGTTTTAAAATATGGTTCAGACACAAAATCAAACTCCATGAAATTCAAATTTTATCCCTTTATAATGCTTTGTACTCTCCATAATGAGATTCACATCTGCAGGGGGAAAAAATGAGTAGGGGGGAACTCTTGAGGGCTGTACATCACAGTACTGGGGCTGAAAGCACCTCAGCAGGGCAGCTGCTAGGAGGCCTCCTCAGGCCAGGGAAGCAAAAGCATCTCAATGAACCAGAGTCGGGTTGCAACCAGTCATCCTTTTCTTGACTGAAGGGCAACCCTATTTCCTCCATCACCTTGCTGTCTGTGAGATAAACACAGTAGCTCATTTAGTTGAGCCTGCTCTGATGGTTTAAAGTGTGCCTTGAAGATTTGCTCTGCTCCCTCAATCTGGAATACTTTCTTTCCCAACTCTGTCCCTCCAAGAATCGTCTAGTTATGAGAACCCTCCAAGCAATCCTTCTGAAATTTGTTCATGCAAATGCCCAGCCATCTATTCAACAAATGATTTATTGAGTACCTACTATGTGCCAAGTTCTGTTCCAGGCCTGGAAATAAAACATGGAACAAACCAGATAAAAATCCTTATCCTTGTGGAATTAATATTCTGGTGTAGAAGATAGACAATAAGTAATTAAGAAGAAAATCATGGTATGTTAGAAGGGGAAACAGGAGTGGGGTGGAACTCCAATTTCACTAACTGCAGTGGTGGCAGAGCTCACTGAGATCAGTGGGTAGAAGTTGGAGGGCGGGCCATGTGGCTACGTGTGCCCAGCAGACCAGAGTGATGGGGAGGAAGTCATCATGTCTGGAGCAGGAAAGTGGGGGAAGTGGTCAAACAGGTTATGAGTGGCCAGATTCCCTCAGGCCTTGTAGTGAAATGGGAAGCGTTTGCAGTGGTTTAAGCAAAGGAGGAACATCATTCGTTTGATGTTTTTGAAACATCTGCCTGACCGTGGTGAGGACAGAATGGACAGGAAATATCAAATCAATAAGCTATCACAACAATAATCCAGGCAAGGCATGATGGTGTTTTGTTTTGGATCAATGATGGCAGGTGTAGAAGTCAGATTAACATTTAATTTAGTTTACCGATGGATCAAGTGCATCGGTGATACACTTCTGCAGTATTTTTTTTTTTTCTTTTTTTTTCACATTGGATCTCAGGGAATGGTGGTTACCAAGGAAGGTGAGGGAAGATTTGAGGTTGCCAAGGAGACAGAGCCGCATAGATTTGAAAACCTGAGAGGCTTCTAGGCCTCCAAGCCTCTGGCGCAGCAATAATTCTGCAGCTAAGCCCCCCACCCGCTGCCCACTAACCATGCGCAACAGGGCAGGTGGGAGCCTATGGAAGGAGCAGGACTTTTGGAAAGTGGAACAGACGCACTCCGGGAGTCGTAGTTCAGAACCGCTGCGCAGGCGCAGTGGCTTCCGCGGGCTTGCGCGCGCAGCCGCTGCGGGACGAGCTTCTGGAAGCTCATTGCGGTGGCGTTGGAGCTGGCTGCGGATGCTGGTGCAGGTACTGGTTGTCTTGGATCCCTAGTTCGGGAGCTGCGACGAGTCGCCGGCTCCGAGCGCGCACCTGGGGGCAGGGTGGGGACTGAGAGCAGCCAGCGGACCTGGCTATGCACTGCGCTGCTGCTCCTGCCGCGGGAGTCGGGCGCTGCCCCGCAGGACAGAGCCACCCGCTTCTCTCCATCCCTCCCTGCGCCCAGGGGTTCGAAACCTATGCTGTCTTGTATTTTGGGCGGGATAATTCTTTGGGGGTGTGTGTGGGTGTGTGTCCGTTTTGCTAGCATCCCTGGCTTTATCCCCTAGATACCAGTTAAAGCATCCTTCCTCTCGGGTCCAGATCACTAAAAATGTTTTCAGGTGTTGCCAAATGACCCTTTGGGGGCAAAATCGTCTCTCCCTTTCTTCCTCCTGGTTGAGAATCTTTGCCTGCGTCACATTTTCACTGAGCCTCTATTGTAACTCCAGGGAGACGGAGTGGAGAATGTGTAAGTCCCAGGTGCCCTGCAGGGCGCCAGTGGTAGATAAGTGGGCGTCTAGTATTTAGCAAAGTGATATTATGCGTGCTGCGTTCGGTGCTCAGAGATGAGTACAGTATTGGGTACGCAAGATTATTATTTGTATAATAATTGCTGTAAGAGACGCCCATCTTCTCCGTTGCCCCGCAGTGGTTCATCTTAGGTTGTGTTGTTATTTCCTGAACCCTTGGGAGAGTGGGTCCCCCGCCTGACCAGTCCTCACAATGCTCATTCCCAGCTCATTGTAGATGCTCAGTCACTTGTAGAATGAATGAATGCATGCAACACAGCAGGCTGTGTGCATTTGGGGATCAAAGAGAGTTTCACACAAGAGGTGACAGGAGGTGAAAGGAGTCAGTTTTTATTTATTTATTTATTTATTT